TTCTCTCATCAAATTAGGGAAATTTTCTCTCATTACTCTTTCAAATACATTTTCTATCCCTGTTCTTCTTCTCCTTCTCGTATTCCTATTATTCAGATATCATTATGTTTCATATTGTCTTGCATTTATCTTAATCCTTCTTCATTCTTTCTGAGCCTCTTTTCATTTTCTTGCTCTTTCTGTGAGATGCTTTCTACTTTGTCCTCCAACTCGCTAATCCGATCCCACGTCTCATCTATCCTAATTTTGAAACTTTCTACTGTGTTCTTCAATTTAGAAATTGTATTCTTCATTTTCTCTTGTCCCTTGCTGATATTTTCTATTTGCTTTTTCATGTTGGTGTAGTTTGCAGAGAGATCATTGTAGTTCCACTGTAGTTTCTTAAACAAAAGTTCAGTATCTACCATAGGAATGCCTTAAAGGCCTGTGATGATGCTCTTGGGGAGCAGTCAATACAGAGAAAGCTCCTACTTCTCTAGGTAGGGTTCATGCATATCCATTGCTACTGGAAAACACCGACACTCAATGTGAAATTCCTAATGGTGTACATAAGCATCAGAGAAGACAGGAAATTATGTAAAACTGTAAAATTTTATACTTATTAGATTTAGGGTGCCCATCTCTACAATGACCACTTCGGGTTTCCAGAAAGTGTGCTCTACTAATGGACCACGAGAGGCAGCACTGGGCTTTTCATAGGAAGAGAGTGATAAGTTATTATTGAGAGAGAATATGGCACATATAACACAGTAGAAATTGTGATTTTTTTAAGTAAATAGAAATAACTTGTATTTTAAAGAGTGTTCGAAACTGTCTATTATTCTTGGAAATTGTCAACATAGGTGTTGCCAGAGAGAATGATAGAAAAAATTAGAATAGTATTTGCAAGTGTATGATTCACATTGATTTTTTTTATTTTAAAAAATTAAGTGGCTTAATTTTTTCCACTTTTTTATTTGCAATATATCATTGGTTTCCTGTTTTAATGAATCAAATTTAACCATGATCTATAATCCTGCATAGATCATGTTTATTTTACCAAGAGAGTTTTTATTTTATTTTTATTAATTTTTATTTATTGGGTTTTTTTAGACAGAGGAAGAAACAGAGGTAGAAAGAGAATAATTGTTTGGTTTTGCCTTGTATTTTTTACTAAATATTTTATTATTGTTCTATCACACTTGTCCCAATTTTTCCCTCGTTGCTTTCCTCTGAACGCCCCCCACCCTGACTCCCACAGTCAATTCCCACCCTATTTCTTGGGTCATTCCATGTTCTTGGGTCACTCATAAATGTTGCTTGACTAGTTCCTTCCCTTTCTTTTCACCCTTATCTTTCTTCCCCTTTCCTTTCTGGTTGCTGTCAGTGTTTGGCTTGTTTCCATGCCTCTGGTTTATTTTGCTCCTTTGGTTTTTTTGGTTCATTAGGTTCCTTCTATAGGTGAGATCATATGGTATTTGTGTTTCATTGACTGGCTTATTTCACTTAGCATAAAAGAAATAATAAAATACTTGTTTTGAGCTTGGAGCACGCAGGAAAATTATTGTGGTTACCAATACACAGTGGGAACCTACTTTTTTGTTGTTGTGTGATAAAGTAGAAATTTCATACATTCACCCCCAAAACTTTTTAGTATTAATTTGCACTTGTAGTCACCATAGTGGGAGAAATGGAAAAGCATCCAGTGTTTGGTATGTGTATTGAAATTGATGAGCCCATGTTACAGAATGGACCCATGAGGGGGAACAAAATACTATTACCAAATGGACCCCACCTTCTCCTGGGGTCCCCCTGTTTTAGGTTCACCTTGCCTACCACCAGGGAATGATGTGTCTCAGTGTCAGAGATTAGTGAAAAGGAAAGGAATTATTTATTCAAAGGTTGTACAGACTTAGAGTAATGCCTTAATGTCTTCATTAAAATCGCAAAGTCCCTTAAAACACCCACAAACACACACAGTTCTTTCTTCTCCCTTTGCACAGTCCAGGGTACCCTATCTCAGAAAAAGAAATAGAAGTTCATGGTTCTGGTAGCTCCTGGTTCTTCCCAGCAATCCGTGTTCAGCTGGCATGCCTCCCTCAGTTCCCAGCACCATCCACTGTGTCGCCTCCATGATCTCCAGTAAATCCAAACCCAAATGGCACCTTCTCATGGCGCACAAGCAGGAGTCCTTCCACACCTTTCCTTCCCACAGCATTTCTCCTGCATCCTTCCAAACAGCTAAGTGAGAGCTCTGCATTGCTGCTACATCTTGCTTTCAAGCTTCCTCAACTGCGCAGCAAAGGGAGCCCCAAAGCCACATGATCCCTTCTTACTCCAAGTTCTCATGTACAGTTGCTATAACCAGGGGGGAGTTGCTTCCCAGTTATATCTAGAGTGGAAGTCATTCCCATCTCCCTGGCTCAAAGCATGGTTCAAAACATATTCATGAAACCAATTAACAGTAGTAGATATGTTAAATGGTCATGCCAGAGGTTAGCTGTAAAACTGTGGTAATGCAAAACAGCTCTTCTTCATGTGTCCCATTCCCCAGTTCAGACTTGTGGGAGTGAAGACATCCTATATATTATTTTCATATTTCCTGAACACCTTGAGTTCTGGACCCCATTACAAGTCCCTATTTGGGGGTCCTGGCTGCACCCTGTTACACTCACACACTAAAGTGTTTAGAGATTCCCTGTAACATAAAAAAAAGCTTTTTACAGAGAACAGGATGGACATCCAGAGATTGTCAAGTGCATGGCTTCAGAGAATAAAGGATGATAAAAGTTTTGAGGTATTAGGGTGTATACAGGGTGGGCTTGGGGTGCAGTGAGCTGCTCAAAGTATGAACCTTCAGCTGGTATCAAACAAGGAAACCCCCGAGCTGCTTTTCCAGTTTTTCCAAACTGACAGAAGAGGGAGAAGCTGGAGTAAGACTTTAAAGATATGAATGGTCAAGCATTTACAAATGGATTCAGACTTTTTCATAAGAATCTCAATGTTTACTCTTGAAACTGCTGACTTCTTGGTTGGGAAAGACCCTGATTTTCATTCTTCACATACTACATTACAATCTCTTTTCTATGGGGAATGCCCATATGGGTTCCATTGTAGGGCATAGTTGTTAAAAATGCTTGTAAACTACTATTTGTATATATTGCATAGGATAATATTACACCAGTTTCAAGAAAATTAATGCTTTGTCATGTTTACTAGGTAAGAACCATTATGGAACAATCTAACTCAGTGACAAAATTTCTGAAGGGTATAAAAATGTTAATTTTAAACTTAGATAGGCCCTGGCAGGTATAGTTCAGTAGACTGAGTGCTGGCCTATGAACCAAAGGGTCACCAGTTCAATTCCCAATCAGAGTACATGTGTGAATTGTAGGCCAGGTCCCCAATAGGAGATGCGTGAGATGACACCATACACTGATGTTTCTGTCCCTCTCTTTCTCCCTCCCTTCCCCTCTAATAATAAATAAATAAAAATTTTTAGAAAACTGTATTAAAGAAAATTTGGAAAGGAAGTAATATGTGTCATGGTTCATGTAGAACTGTATTAAATTTTTTATTTAATACATTTTTCATAGCATTTCTTCCTTTGAAATGAAAATATACATAAAACAAAGACAGAGACAAAGTAAGTGCTCTATAAATATGAAGAAAAAGAGTTGCTTTAGGTCTTCAGTTCAGTGAAAGAACTGGAATGTCACAGGTTGTGAACAGAAGTCTTTTGCTGTGTGAGTTTGCTTCACTCAGGCGCTTGAGAATCAAATGTGTGGAAGTCAAGCAGCACACTGTACTGTAAAAGTAAATAGAATGATGAAGAGAACAGATCCCAGGACTTTGGGTGTATTTTTAAACAAGGAGACAATCTCCATCAACAAATGGCTGCAGGCTGTTGGGCCATTTCTTCCTGACTGGTATTCATATTGAGAGCCAGAACACTTACCAGAGAAAGTGAAGTTTGCAGTGCTTTTACCATAGCAACTGACACCCGACATCCTCCACCTATAATTTGTTTCCATCCCCAAATAATAAATGTTTCTTTTATAGGTGATTTTAATTTTTCCACTGCATTTAATATCATATTTCAATAGTCCTGATTTCAAAAAATGAAGGAACTGATTTGCAGGCAGGAGGTGTTATTGTTGTGTTTCCCCAGAACATGTAACGTGAGGAGGACCCTACAAAGGGCTTTGAATCAGAGGAGTCTGATTGGAGGTTCATATTCACTTGTGAGTGCAGCCATAAGGCAGGACTTTTAAAAACACGTTTTCTATCACCGGAATTCATATAAAATGCATCAAGAATTGCTTGGGGGCCCAGAAAATGTTTTGTCTTGCTATAGTACTATGTGGATATTTAAAGGCTGTGTGTTGTTCTTTTGATAGGCAAAGTGTTCTTGTGAAGAAAAACCCAGTTTTCCTCCTCTTTTGTAGAGAAGTGTTTCTACTGTGTTTTGTATCCTTTATGACCCCTTTAGTCAGACTAATATGACCACACTCACCATCACACTAAAATCTGACACTCCTGGTCACCAAATTGTAGGATTTCCCACCACATCCAACAATTCTCTGGCACACCAGCTGGGCATTAATGGCTTCGGTAACATATTGAATGGAGAGTGATACAGTACTAAACTACAGTAAACATAAATGGAAGAGAAAGATTACAAATACAATGTGTCAAAGAATCATCTAAAATTTAATTATATGAGTATTATAATCTTAATTTTTGACGGAAATCTCACAAATTTTCTAATTAAGTTGAAGCCGTACAAAAATGGCTCCTAAGTCAAAGGGAGTGATCAAGCCAAAAATATAACCAAGGAGAAATATGTAAAAAGGAGTCCTGGCCTAAACCCCGAGTCCTCACCTCCCCTCCTTATCCAAGTCTCGGACTTGACTCGGCCAATCGGCAGACACCGCCCATCGCCGGAAGTGCTCTGCTCTTAGTCCCACCCCTACGCGTGTCAGTGAGTCGCGCTTGCGCGGTTTGTGAGCCGGCGGGAAGTAGTTACAGGGCCGCGAAGATCGGGCAGATCTCCCTTGGTTTGGTGTTTCCAGGTCGAAACTGAAGCTCTGAGTTCACGTTCTTGCTCCGGGAAACTCGAGAGTCGCTACTGGCGTTGAAATACTCCCCGCGGCGCCTCGCTTGACGGTGAGTCCAGAACACCCGTGAGACGCCCCCAAGCCCTGACCGGTTCGCTGCCCGGCGGAGGGGCCATTTTCGCGGAAACCCTGAGGCCCTCTCGCCCGGGGATTCTCCACCTGCCTTCTGTGAAACTTCGCCTGCAGCGTGGATTTTCTACGGAGAGTCGGTCCCTGGGCTGCCGGGCTGTCCCGCCCAGCTTAAAGCCAGGGAGACAGGTCTGGCAGAGCAATTTGTGCGCCTCGGCTTGCTTGGCCCATGGAGCCCGAATTGTGCCTGGGCGGGTAGATGCGCAGACCCTCCCTTCCTTTATATACTCCCCTATTTAATGAGCGCTTGAGAAAGAGAGGAGGGGAGTGGAAAAGCGAGTGCAGGGACAGAAATGCTGATTATGGATGCCAAGTGGGGCCTTGATTCAAGAGGGTTCTGCATGCTTCATAAAGCTAAACTGTACCCCTTTGGGTTGTTATTAAATCCCTTGAGAAGATCAAAGAAATGACACCAGCTCTGGCCTTCCCCACAGAGTCAGTCAGCTTCTCCCAGTGGGGCATTAGTGTTTAATGAGGAGCCCCAGGTGAGGTTCAGGTGAGCCCAGTGATTAGCAGGAGTGCTCCGGAATGCATCTGTGAGAGTGGGGAGCAGGTTTTATTCAAGGGAGATAACGGAATGTTCTGGTGGGTATGGTGGTGTAGACAATCCCCATTGGTGTGGCAGTTTGTATACATCTGTGCGAGGAGAGAGCACATGAAAAGAGAAAGAAAAAACAGTTGGGTCTCTTTCACGGAGACTTGTTCTGAATTCCTTTAAAAGGACACCAGAGCCCTGGCTGGTGTAGCTCAGTGGATTGAGCACGGGCCTGCGAACCAGACAATGGCGGTTCGATTCCCAGTCAGGGCACATGCCAGAGTTGCAGGCAGGTTCCCTGAAGGCCAGTTCCCAGCAGGGGACGCACGAAAGGCAACCACACATTGATGTTTCTCTCCCTCTCTCCTTCCCTTCCCCTCTAAAGATAAATAAATAAAATCTTTTAAAAAATGCTAAAAAAAAAGGACACCAGAGAGTGGCCATTTCAGCATTTCCACCTGTGCATGTGGTGAAGTGGATTAAAGGGCTGTGCTGAGGACTCTGAAGGCACATCCTCGAAGTGCAGACATGACTCCTCAGCATATCTTCACCTAAGAAAACCTACAGCAGGACCAGGGCAACATGGCTGCCTCTCAGGTAAAAGGTGTGCCCTGGGTCAGAAGCTAATTTTGCTTCACTTCCTGACATCAGTGGATTTAGAACCTACAACCTTTGTTTCTTCTGTTCATTAATAATGAGGTGGTTTTTAATCTACTTACTCATTTTCTTTTCTTTCTATGATTGTCAAGGTCAGCAGTAACTTTTTTTCTTTTTCCCAGCACCTTCTCTGCATTATCATTATCTATGCTGCCCAAGGTAAAGAAGAACTCCTGCCTTTAATTAATGACCTTCAACCACTGAGCATATTCCCTATGTGAGAGAGATCAGCCAGGGAAGGCACCCATGCCCAACATCCCTGTTTGGATGGACTCAGAGGCTCAGGTATCAGTGGAGAAGGGAACTGTAGGTTTTAGGTTCATGTGGCTACAGAATCAGCTCTGTACATCGTGGGTAAGAAAATACACATTTTTATCAGTCAGAATAGTTCTTAATGTTCTGAAAAAATGGAATTGAGAGAAGGGACCTTCTCACTAAATTGGTAAGTCTTGCTATCATATTTTGTCATGTATAATGCGCACTTTTTGCTCTGATTTTTGAGGGAAAAATAAGGATGCACATTATATATGAGTAGTACTAATTCTGTATCTACATAAATGTTTTAATTCTTTTATTTATTATAGTGTAATTCTTTTATATATTAAAGTGTAACTCTAGGAGTTGACATAAAATTTCTTCTACCATAATATATTAAAAAATAAAGGCTACAATTCCTTTTTTAATACAAAAACCGAGTATCTAAATATGAATAAATTAAAAATTGAATTAAAAAATTAAAACAAGACTTCCGGCCAAGGTGGAGGTGTAGGTGGAAACATTGTTCCTCCTCGCACAACCAGGTTTAAAAACAACAAAGTTTTAGTAACAAAAACGCAACCAAAACACGGAAAATTGAACTGTACTGAAGTCCAACAACAACAAACCATTCATCCAGACTGGTAAGAGGGGCGGAGTCAGCAGCTGGTTGATCTGGGTCGCTCAGGAAAAAGTGACCTGACCGGACTGACCCAGGTGTGCAGGCAGCCGTTGACAGATCCCAGGCAATGGGCAACCCAGTGGGGGCGCAAGGCGGCTGGCTGATCGTGGTCACACTTTAGAGCTTAGATAAACCAGGTGAAGGAGCGAGCAGTGAGACCACGAAGGCTAGTGCCCCAGCGACGGGAATTAAAGCCTAAAAGCACTAATTGGAAAAACTCTCGGGGCTGAGGTGCTGGGAGAAGCTCCCAGGCTCACAGAGAGTTTGTTGGAGAGACCCACAGGGTCCTGGATGGTGCACAGGCCCACACACCCGGGAGCTGGCACCGGGGGGCCCGGTTTGCTTGCAGGAAGCAGCAGAGGGGACCAAAATCTGAGAGAGAGTGGAACAAATGCCATTGCCCCTCTCTGACCCAGCCCCCACATGCAGCATCACAACCCAGCAACTGGGTTGCCCTACCCTAGTGAACACCTAAGGCTCCTCCCCTCATATTAACAGGTAGCTATTCCCCCCCCTTTAGTTTATGTCCATGTGTCACAAGTTCTTTAGATTCTATATTTCCCATACTATTCTTGCCCTCCCCCTGTCTATTTTCTACCTATTGTCTATGCTACTTATTCTCTGTACCTTCACCCTTCTCCTCCCACTCCCCTGTTGATAACCATGTGATCTCCATTTCTGTGATTCTGTTCCTGTTCTAGTTGTTTGCTTTTGTTCTTGTTTTAGGTGTGGTTGTTAATAATTGTGAGTTTGCTGTCATTTTACTGTTCATATTTTTATCTTTTCTTAGATAAATCCCTTTAAAATTTCATATAATAAGGGCTTGGTGTTGGTGAACTCCTTTAACTTGACCTTATCTGGGAAGCACTTTATCTGCCCTTCCATTCTAAATGAAAGATTTGCTGGATAGAGCAATCTTGGGTGTAGGTCTTTGGATTTCATGACTTGGAATCCTTCTTTCCAGCCCCTTCTTGCCTGTAAGGTCTCTCTTGAGAAATCAGCTGACAGTCTTATGGGGACTCCTTTGTAGGTAACTGCCTTCTTTTCTTTTGCTGCTTCTAAGATTCTCCTTATTTTTAATCTTGGGTAACTTAATGATGATGTGCCTTGGTATGTTCCTCCTTGGGTCCGCTTCTTTGGGACTCTCTGAGCTTCCTGGACTTCCTGAAAGTCTATTTTCTTTGCCAGATTGGGGAAGTTCTCCTTTATTATTTGTTCGAATAATTTTCAATTTGTTGTCTTCCTCTTCTCCTTCTGGTACCCCTAGAATTCGGGTGTTGGAACTTTTAAAGATGTCCTGGAGGGTCCTAAGTGTCTCTTCATATTTTCTGAATTCTTGTTTCTTCATTCTTTTCTGGTTGAATGTTTGTTTCTTCTTCTGGTCCACACTGTTGATTTGAGTCCCAGTTTCCTTTCAATCACTGTTGGTTCCCTGTGCATTTTCCTTTATTTTACTTAGCATAGACTTAATTTTTTCATCTAATTTGTGACCAAATTCAACCCAATTCTCTGCACATCCTGATTACCAGTGTTTGGAACTGTGTGTCTAATTGATCTCTTCTTTCATTTGGGCCTTTTTTTTTTTTTTTTTTTTTTTTTTGGTCTCTGCAATCCTATTATGTAGTTAGTGCTGTATGTGGGGAATGGATCCGAGACAGAACAATGGTACTTGCACCACTCTGTGCCAGATTCCAGTCACTTCCTCCACTACCCACAAGCAAAATGGGCCTTTCTGGTGCTGTTTCCTAGTTGGTTGGGCTTGTGTATGCTCTGGGACCCTGCAGGTCTCTCCAATGAACTTTCCTCTGAAGCTTGGAGTTTCTCCTGCTGCCTCAACCCCCATAGGTCTTTTCAATCAGTGGTTTGAGGCTTTATTTCCTTATGCTGGAGCCCTGGGGTGCGAGGTCTGTTTAGCTCCCCAGTTGTTCCTCCCAGTTTATCTGTACATGAATGTGGGACTGCCTGCTCCACCAGCCTCTGCCTTGCCAGATCCACCGGCTGCTGCCTTGCCTGCCCTGGTCCTCCATCCATCCACTGCCTTGCCACTTGTCCTCCCCGCCTGGCTGCCTGTCTCTGCCCCTCCTACAGGTCTGGATGAACGTGTCTTCTTTAACTCCTAGGTTGTTGGATTTCCATACATTTCGATTTTCTGTCAGTTCTGGTTGTTTTTGTTTTTAAATTGTTGTTGTCCTCCTTTTGCTGTGCAAGGAGGCACAGTATATCTGCCTACACCTCCATCTTGGCCAGAAGCCCAAATTTAGGTTTCTTCCATGGCTTGATATATTATTTCTTTATGGTGCTAAATAATATTTCATTGCATATCAGTTTTCTTACATATTCATCTGTTGACAGATATCTTTGTTGCTTCCAATTTTTGGAAATTATGAATGATGGATCTATAAATAGTCCCTTGTAGACTTTTGTTTAGATAAGTTTGTTAGCTCTTTAGTTAAATACTATGGAGTACACTTTATGGATTATATAATAAGTGTATGTTTAGTGGTGTGAAAATTTCCAAACTCTTCCCAGGCAGCTGTAGCATTTTGAATTTTCACCAGCAAGGAATGAGAGATCCAGTTCTACATCCACAGCAGCATTTGCTGTTATCAGTTCTGGATTCTGACCTTTGCAGTAGGGGTTTTGTGTTCCATGAATATACACTTTGTTTAGTTTTCATTGTTTTAATGTTCATTTCCTTAGTGACATAAGATTTGGAGGGTCTTTTTAGAGACTAATTTTTTACTTATATATTTTTAAAATATATTACTTATTTTTAGAGAGTGGGGAGGGA